TGAATGGGTTTTCTAAGTCAACTCTTGGCTGAAGGGGGAAGAAAATTTGACAAAAACAATCCAGTCACACCAGGGTAGCTGTTCATTCTTCCTAGAAAGATGGAAGCCTGTGGGGGAACTAGGTAAACACAATAAGAAGAGAAAGAAAAACAAGAGTGGTAGGATTAGAAAGTTAGAATTTTTTCTAAATGAAGAATGCTTCCATCTGGAATCTTCACTGAGGACTGATGGTGATGGAGTCTAAGTGATACTTAGGGGTCAAAGACAAAAGGACACTTCTCTGCTTCAGTAGTGTTTCAGTCATGTCTGATTCAATGACCCCATTTTTCTTGGGTTTTCTTGGCAGTGATCCTGGAGCAGTTTGCCATTTCCTTCTCCAGCTCATTTTACAGATGAGGAAACTGAAGTAAACAAAGTTAAGTGACTTTACCCAGGGTCACTCCTAGTAAGTGTCTGAGGCGAGATTTGAACTCATGAAGATGAGTCTCCCTGATTCTAGACCCAGCATGCTATCCATATCACCACTTAAGGAAATGGCTTATTTAAATTTTTAAGAATGGAGGCTGATTGGGGAAGCTAGGTGGCATTGTAGATAGAGTTCTGGCCTTGGAATCAGGAAGACCTGAGTTCAAATCCAGCCTCAGACACATGACACTTACTAGCTGTGTGACCTGTGCAAGTCACTTAACCCCAATTGCCTCACTAAAAAACAAAAACAAACAAAAAAAGAATGGAGGGTGAACCTCCACCTTCCCTAAATTGATTGTCCATTCTTTTCATTCTCTCACTTTTGATATTGAGTGTTTTTATCTCTGCTTAAGTTGTACTACCTATATACTTATCATACATACATATATATACATATGTACATACCATATACATACATATATACATATATACATATATGTACATACATATATATACTTCCCTCTTCCAATATAATAAGGCCAGCTAAGTGGCTCAGTAGATAGGGCACCACAGCTGGAGTCAGGAAGACCTGAGTCCAAACCCAGCCTCAGACACTAGCTGTGTGACCCTGGGCAAGTCGCTTGACCCTCTTTGCCTCAGTTTCCTCATCTGCAAAATAGGCTGGAAGAGGAAATGGCAAACACTCCAGTATCTTTACCAAAAATAATAGGATTGTTTAAAGGCAAGAACTTTGCATTGTCACTGAGATATACACCTAGCACAATACCTTGCACGTAGTAGGCTTTTTTCCTATTTAATATTTTATTTTCCCCACTTTATGTAAAAACAATTTTCAATATTAATTTAAAAAATTGTGTTCCAAATTCTTTCTGACCTCCCCAACCCCCTCACTGAGAAGGCAAGCAATTTGATATAGGTTGTACATGTGTAGTCATGCAAAACGTATTTCCATATTAGTCATGTAAAATAAAATACAGAGCAAAATAAAAACCCAGGAAAAAATAAAGGAAATGAAAAAAAAAAGTGTGCTCCTCTGTATTCAGATGGATAGCATTTTTCATCATAAGTCCTTCAGAGTTGTCTTGTATCATTGTATTGCTGAGAATAGCTAAATTGTTCACAGTTATCTTACAATATTACTGTTACTGTGTGTAATGTTCTCCTGGTTCTACTCATTTCATTTTGAATCAGTTCATGTAAGTCTTTCCAGGTTTTTCTAAGAGCATCTAGCTCAATATTTCTTATAGCACCATAGTATTCCATTACAATCATATACTACAACTTGTTCAGCCATTTCCCAAATGATGGGCATCCCCTCAATTTCCAATTCTTCGCCACCAGAAAAGAACTGCTATAAATATTTTTGTACATATAGGTTATTTTCCTTTTTTTAAAAAATTTCTTTTTGGATACAGACCTATTAGTGGTATTGTTAGGTCAAAGGGTATGCATGGTTTTACATAGGCCTTTGGGCATAGTTCCAAATTGTTCTACAGTATGATAGAATCAATTCACAACTCTACCAGCATTGCATTAGTGTCTCAGTTTTCCTACGTCCCCTCCAACATTTGTCATTTTCCTTTTCTGTTCTATTAGCCATTCTGATAGGTGTGAGGTAGTACCTCAGAATTGTTTTAATTTGCGTTTCTCTAATCAACAGTGATTTAGAGCAATTTTTCATATGGCTATAGATAGCTTGATTACTTCATCTGAAAACTGATTTCATATTTTTAAATCGTTTATCAATTGGAGAATGGCTTTTATTTTTATTAATTTGGCTCATTTCTCTATTTGTTTGAGGAATGAGACCTTTGTCAAAGAAATTTTCTTCAAAATTTTTCACTATGATTGCTAACTGTATTTCCCTCTATCCTATCCTTCCCCTTCTGTTTCTTTTACTCTCTTTTTCCTTTTACCCTGTACCTCCTCAAAAGTGTTTTACTTCTATCACCACCCCCGATATGCCCTCTATTCTATGAGCAACCTCACCTTCCCTTCTCTTTCTTCCCTTATCCCCTTTCTCTCCTACTTTCCTATAGGGTAAGATAGATTTCTATGCCCTCTTTGAGCCAATTCTGATAAGAATAAGGTTTGTGTTCACTGAAAATCCCCCCATCTTTCCCTCCATTTAAAAGCACTTTCTTGCCTCATTTGTGTGACATAATTTACCCCATTCCAACCTCCCCCTTTCCCATTCTCCCAGTGCATTCCTGTTTCTTACCCCTTAATTTATTTTTTAGGTATCATCCCATCATATTCAACCCACTCCTGTGTTCTCTGTCTGTATATACTCCTGCCCTAATAATGAAAAGTTCTTATGAGTTACAAGTATCATCTTCCTTGTAAGAATGTAATCAGTTTAACCTTATTAAGCCCTTATGATTTCCTTTTACTGTTTACTTTTTCATGCTTCTCTTGAATTTGTATTTGAAAGTCAAATTTTCTGTTCAACTCTGGCATTTTCATCAAATAGAAAGTCTTCTGTTTCATTAACTGTTTGTTTTTCCCCCTGAAGGATTATATTCAGTTTTTTTTTGGGGGGGGTAGGTGATTCTTGGTTGTAATCCTAGCTCCTTTGCCCTCTAGAATATCATATTCCAAGTCCTCTAGTCTTTTAATGTAGAAGCTGCTAAATCTTGTGTTATTCTTACTGTAGCTACATATGACTTGAATATTTTTTTTCCTGGTTGCTTAAAATTCCCTTTCCTTGACCTGGGGGCTCTGGAAATTGGCTATAATATTCCTGTGAATTTTCATTTTGGAATTTCTTTCAGCTGATGATAAGTAGGTTGATCTTTCAATTTCTGTTTTACCTTCTGGTTCTAGAATATCAGGGCAATTATCCTGGGTAATTTCTTGAAATGTGATATCTAGGGTTGGTTTGTTGTTGTTGTTGTTGTTGTTTTGTTTTTTTTTATGAGGGATTTCAAGTAGTCCAATAATTTTAAAATTATCTCTTCTGGATCTATTTTCTAGGTCAGTTGTTTTCACATTGTCTTCTCTCTCTCTCTCTCTCTCTCTCTCTCTCTCTCCTTTCTTTTCATTCTTTTGGTTTCTTTTTTTGTTGTTGTTGTTTCTTCATGTCTCATAGAGTCATTCCTCTGCCTTTTAAGGAGCTCTTCTCTTGGTGAATTTTTGTATATTTTTTCCCATTTGGCCAATTCTGTTTTTTAAGGTATTCTTCTCCTCATGGGATTTTTGTACCTCTTTTACCATTTGACCTAGTCGTTTTTAAGGTGTTATTATTTTCTTGAGTATTTTTTGTGCCTCCTTTTACCAAGCTGTTGACATTTTTTAATAATTTTCTTTCATCATTCTCATTTCTCTTCCCATTTGTTTCTACCTCCCTTAATTAATTTTTAAAATCCTTTTTGAGCTCTTCTGTGGCCTGAGACCAATTCATATTTTTCTTAGAGGCTTTTGTTGTAGCAGTTTTAACTTTGTTGTTTTATTCTGAGTATGTTTGTATCTTCTCTGTCACTGTAGTAACTTTCTGCGGTCAGATATTTTTTCTATTGTTTTCTCATTTTCCAGTCTATTTCTTGACTTTTAACTCTTTGTTAAAGTAGGGCTCTGCTTCCAGGGTGGAGGGAGCACTGTCCCAAGCTTCAGGGGTTTTGTGCAGCTGTTTTAGGGATACTTCTAGGGAACTGTAGGTTTTCAGTTCTTCCAAGGTGGTATGATCAAAGGGGAGGTGTGTTTACTCCTCTCCTGGCCTGGGCTCTAGTTTGTGAGTGACTACAAGCACTCTTTTCTGCCCTGGAACTATGATGAGGGTTCCTGCTACACTGTGGCCACAAGCTGTGGTGTGCTAGTGCTCCTCCTGGCCCTGGGATTGCCCCCAGGACTGAGACCAGGATCCAACTATGGGCAAAGCACCAGAGTCCTGCCCCAGTGCTAGCAAAGAGACCTCTGTGATCTCCTTCTGACCAGTTGTTCTACCCCCTTACAATCTGTGGGCTGGAAGTAGCCACTCCTCTGCTGATTCAGTGGCTTCCAAGGCCTGCTCCTGGTTTTCTGGGGCCGAGCCTATGCTGGCGTGGCCTGAGCTGGACTGCACTCTTCCCTTACCCTAGTGGAACAGACCTGTCCTGTCAACTTCTAAGTTATCTTGGGCTGGAAATTGTTTCACCCCGTCCTTTTGTGGGTTCTGCCACTCCAGAATTTGTTTTAGGGCATTACTTAAAGGTGCTTGGAGGGGTTTTGGGAGAGAACTCAGGTGAGTCCCTGCCTTTTTTTCCACCATCTTAGTTCTACCCCCTCACCCCCATAAGTAAGTTTTAAATAATTGTTGGATTGAATTGTTAACATATAATGCCATAAGTATGTTAAACATATAATTTAATCCTGTAAATGAACACTGTAATGATAATTCACCCAAAGTTTTCAATAAAAAAAGGGAAGAATGTCTTCTCTAATTATGACTTAGAGGCTTCCAATTTATTTATGTTCTGTATGCCATCTTGAACAACTTATCCCGGTACAAAACATAAACCAATGCTTCTGAAATATTTAGAGGAATTCTTAATATTTTATCACTTTTCAGTAATAAAACCATGTTCTTTTCTCAGAATAAAAGCTTGAAAAATAAGCTGCTGTCAGGAAACAAGTTATGTGGAATCCATGCTGAAGAGGTGAGTGGCGCCTTTACCCTCCCAGCTTTAGGAGAAGCCTACCAATAGCGGTGCCAAACATGTCAGTCTGACAATGTGCCAGCCCCGCTAGGTTTGGCGAGAGCAGCCTATTAGTGCTGAGGACAGTGTGGGGACTTCTGAGATTTTTCCCACATCAATCCAGTGATCTTAAATGTGTCTCCTGCTAGGTTTCTCTGGTTTCATTCCAACTGACTGAGATATCACAATCATTTGAAATGGTCTCTCTGGATTCTTCCCTGGGGAAGTTCAGTGAAAACAAAGGTGAATGGGAAACGGTGAAATCTTGGGAGCCCCAATTGATAATAATGTTTCCTTATGAACAGGTCCTCAAAGATTCAATTATTTCATTCAGGGAAATTTATTTCTATATTATAATGATATGTACTAGTGGTTCTAGAAGACTATCTAACCCCACCCCTTAAGACCAACAGAGACTCTTTTTTTTTAAATTTTTAGTCAATCGGGGTTAAGTGACTTGCCCAGGGTCGCACAGCTAGTTAAGTGTCAAGTGTTTGGTCCGAGGCCAGATTTGAACTCAGCTCCTCCTGACTCCAGGGCTGGTGCTCTGTCTACTGTGCTACCTACTGCTGCCCCTTCAACAGAGACTCTTTCAGGGAGTCTATAAGGTCAAAACAATTTTCATAACAGTACTAATACATTTTAATTTCTGATATGGTAAATATCAATAGATATCAAAGTTCTCAATAATTAAGAGAAAAAAGTGGTTTTGAGACCAAAATTTTGATAACCAGTGAACAATCAGTAGGAAGCCAAGAAGAAAAATCCTCCAGGTACTCATCATTGTCTTAATGTTTTGCCCTCAAATTGACATGTTTCCTCTATGTGTTTTTCTTTCCCAGATACAGAATCAAATTGCTTGTTTGCAAGTGAAATGAAACATCCATTCATTTACTTTTTTAAATGATATTTTATTTTTCCCCAGTTACATGTAAAGACAATTTTTAACGTTCATTTTAAAAAAAGAGTTCCACATTTTCTCTCTCCCTCAACTCCCTCCTCAGTAAGACGATAAACAATTTGATATAGATTATACAAGTTCAGTCATGCAAAAGGTATTGCCATATTTGTGATGTTGTGAAAGAAGATACAGACCCAAAGGAAAGCCATTTTTACTACTACCATTTAAAACCTTATTTTTCTCTTTGAAAAGCCTCCTTAATCCAACCATACATTTAAATAAACAAAAGCCCCAAGCTAGGAACTTAAGATATCTAGTCTTGCACCTTGCTATGACACTAAGTGGATGCATAAGAATGATTCTGAACTGTTAGCTCAGCTTACATTTACATAGCCATTTATCTCATTTGATGCCTTCAACAACACTGTTGAGGCAGATATTGCAAGAAGTATTATTCCCATTTTACAGATAAGTAAGTCTTAGAGACATAAATTTATCTCTCTAAGATAGCATGGCTAGCAAGTAACTGAGCCTAGAGTTCAGGTATTCTGACTCAGTCCATGCCCAGTGTTCTTTCCCATATGTGTGTGTATTTAAAGATGTCAGGGTCAGTGGGATGAGATTTTGCACATCAGCCCAGGAAATATGCAGGTCATGAGGACAATAGTGGCATCCTTCGTTATTCACAGTAAACAAGCAGACCCACAAAAGTACACGGTTGAAGGGAAAGTGTGGTCACTAAGTTCTGAGGCTTAAAACTTGCTGAAAGGAGAGCTAAAAGGTAATGCCTTGGCTATGTTTTCTGTCTAGATTATAACAGTAATAGCTAACTTCTTATAGCGTTTTATGATTTGCAAAGCACTTTACATGGATTATGTCTCTTGAGCCTCACAACAACCCCCAAGATAGGTGGTATTATTATACCCATTTTACAGATGAGGAAACAGAGGCTGAGAGAGGATAGAATTTGCTCAGATTTACTCAGCAAATAAGATAATCCTAATAGTTATTTCTTACTGCTGGCATTTGATCTGGAGAGAAGTTAATCAATCCTCTTTATGCTCTCTGAATGGCCTCAAAAATCGTTTCATCTTTATTTAGGATTCATTCTTCTTCTCTGCAAAATGAGGGGATTGGACAAGATCATCTCTCTGATACCTCCAAATCAGAGATTCTTAATTTTTTTTGTGTGTTAAGGAACCCTTTAGCAGTAGGCTGAAGCCTAAGGACCCCTTTGGAGAATGTTTTTAAATGCATAAAATAAAATACAAAGGGTTACAAAGGACACCAATTATATTGAAATGCAGCTATAAAAAATATATGTATATATATGTAATACTATATATATATGTGTATATATATATATATATTCATTTCAATTCAGTAAAGATTTATTAAGCTCCTACTATGTGTCAGGCATTGTGCTAAGCACTGGGATTTACAAACAAGAAAAAGAGACAGTACCTGCCCTCAAGGAGTTTGCAGTTTAAAAGGAGAAGGCAAAACACCAAAGAAGACTGGAAAGGGAGGGATATGGGATGAAGTGCATCATGGGATGCCAGGTGAGGGGCATCTTGTTCTACAGAGCTGCAATGAAGCAGAGCTGCAGATGCAAAAAGGAATAAGTTGGAAATTCAATGTTTGCCCTTTATAAAGGAAGACTTTAGGAGGAGTTTGATACCTACCCTCTGACGCTGAGGGAAGTGGTGCCAATTAGGCCTTGAGTTAGTCTCATGGTGATGAGTGTATCCTGGAAGTGGATACCTTGCTACATGGAGATGAAACCAGGCAGCACTGCAAATACAAAGTGGAGTATATATAATTATACATACATACATACATAATATATATATATATATATATATATATATATATATATATATATATACATATACATATATATATATATTAAAGGGAAAACAATTAGTAGATCCCATTTCAAAAATACTTATATAATAATAATGATGATGATGATAATAATAAACAGCTTTTATATAGTGCCGTGTTCCTGGTACTGTGCTAAGCCCTTTACAATTTTTATCGTATTTGATGCTCACAGCAACCTAGGAGGTAGGTGCTATCATTATCCCCATTTTACAGATAAGGAAGTAGTGGCAAATAAAGCTTAAATGACTTGCCCAGGGTTTCATAGCTACTAAGTATCTGAGGTTGGATTTGAATTCAGCTTTTCCTCATGCTAGCTCCAACATTCTATCCTTTCAACTACCTAGCTGCCTAATAACTGCCAGATTCTCCCCCCTCATCTCCCTCTCCAGTGAAATCTAATATCTGAAGCTCCAAAAGCAATTAGCAAATTCATGCATTATCTTAGTCAAATAAACAAGTTAGACTTTTATTTGTTTTCAGCTAACAAACTGTGCTTTGATTATAAGCCATTGCTGAGCCATTAATAAGTCAAATTGCATTTGAAGTTTATAAATGTTTAGATTCCATACCAGGGAGCCCAAATCAGACATGACTCTCATACAGACATGCCTTTGATCCAGATGGCAGACATGATTTAGGTGCTTGCATATTAACCTCAGCATTCAGGCTTAACAGCCATGGCATGAATTTGTTCAATTGTAACCCTTACTCACATTCTTTTTTATTAGTTATGGCACTATCGCTGTTTCCCTGCAATTGCAATCATTGAGTCAAAAGAAAAGGAAATTACTTGTCTGATTTAAGGTTTAGGTTGAGAAATTTGTTCTGTGCAGTGTGTAGTAGGCAGAATTCTCTATTGTTCTGTATGGGGCAGGTGGGGTGTGTTATCATAGTGATAAAATAATTAGTGAAATTGTTGATAAATCAGAATTTTTCTCTTTGAGAAGAAATGGCTAGATCACAAGAAAATAACATGGACCAAGACTTTTTTTTTAACCCAAATACTTTTGAATTGGACTTAGAGCATATTCAGTCTAATCCTTCCATACCTTCATTTATAGTTACCGTACTGGACGATGACCATTGGTCTTTGGGGTGATGACCTACAGGCACAAAAAAGATACTTCTCCATCTCTCATCTCTGTGCCTTTGTACATGCAATGCTCCTACCCTGGAATGTAGTCTTTCCTCAATTCCACCTCTGAGCTGGTCCTTCAAGGCTCAACCTAAGGGCTACCTCCTGTACTTGATTTCCTACATTTGCTCTCCAGACCACACCGTGAATAGTTGGCTAGGCCTGGAATCACCAATGATTGGGTTCCAATTATTCTTCAGACACTTACTATCTGTATAAATCAGCTCAAGACATTTAATTGCTGTCTGCCTCAGTCTTTTCATCTGTAAAATGGCATAATAATAGTACCTACGTACCAGGTTTGGTGCAAAGTAAAACTAAATAATGTATAAAAGGTGTTTTCTACAATGATTGCACCTACCTCCCAGGGTTCTTATGAGGATAAAATAAGATCATAGTTCTAAAGCTTTTGCAACCTTGAAAGAATGAAAATTTTGAAGTGCTATACAAAGAGTAGCTATTTCATGTGTGTGTGTGTGTGTGTGTGTGTGTGTATACACACACATACATATGTGCACATATAGATTATATATATATATACTACACACACACACACACATATACACACAACAGGGACGCACACACATACACACACATACAGGAACTGGCTAGGTGGCTCAGGGGATAGAGTACTAAGCCTGAAGTCAGGAAGACATGACTTAAAATCCAGCCTCAAACACTTATTAGCTATGTGACCCCGGGCAAGTCACTTAACCTCTGTTTGCCTTAATCTACTGAAGAAGGAAATCATAAGAAAACCTTTGCCAAGAAAACCTCATGAACAATATGGTGCATGGGGTAATGAAGAGTCCTATACAACTGAACAACAACAAATTTTAGACACACATGCACATTTATTTTATATTATATACATGTATATATTTACATTTACTTATTTCTGTACATATTGTTTACCTCTAATATGATGGTAGAAATGTGAGGGTAATGATTTTTGGCTTTCAGTATCTGGTGCACAGCACAGTGTCTAACATTGGAGTCAGCACCATCTGGGTTTAAATTCTGCCTCAGATAATTGAC